AAGGGAACTCCGCTACGTGGGCAGTTTCTCTTTTTCCCCGAGTCACTGGGCCAGTGGGGTTTACGCACTCGGGCGGGAGAAGCGAATGGACCCTCGCTGTATACTACTCTGTATGACTCCATAACCTGCACTGTTCAGTGTCAGATCTTTGCTCCAACATATGATTGTCACCATCTGTAACCATCTGCCCACGTCAGACGCCGTCAGTGGGTTGTATAACGGGAACATGGAGGGGGGACAGCTGGACGCTCTGAGGAGGGGAATTCGCCCCTCACAGTCCGAGGAGTCTTACAAATATAAGGAACGATTAGGACAGTTATTTGGCTTCCTTGCGTTCCGGCTGCCCCCCCCGATGTTCCTGTCTCCTGGTTGGTTGGGGAGACCCCCTTCAGATGGATATCCAATCACCGGCAAAAGAGTCATTGAGATGGTTAACCTCTCCAAATCTTCCTGATGAAGCTTCTGCGAAACGCGTTGAAGACTGGGGCAAGCACAGAATCATGGCTGCATTTTTGATATATAGAACAATTATGTACAATGAATCATTGAATAAGACATGAATACAATGAGAGCAATGACCGATATATGAATTGTTAATCATGGTTTCTGTGTGGGCTCCAGGGAGGTTATTTATGTTGCATACATCTATTTATCATTTTTATCTGGATGAATTTGAATATATATCTATATGTATTGACATTGTGAATTGAGTGTATTAAAAATGACATTTTATTATATTTCTGGATCAACTGACCTTATTTCTGGATCAATTCCCCGGTATTTCCCAGAGGTCACCTAAAAAGCCCTTTTCTTTCTCTTTTGTTGATATATATTGCATATTTAGGGGTGGTGTCTCTGTTTGTGTGATGGTTCCTAACTTCTGTAATACATCTGTAACGGTACCATGCGACGCCGGGCTCCCTATGGGGCGCCCACCCTCTTGCTCTTTTGTATTGTTTCGTTTGTGGCTGAAACCTTTATGTTAGGGCTGGTAATGACTAAAATGTTTTTTTAAATCGATTAATCGATTAATTTCGATTAATTATAGGCCATTATTATACAGCCAAGGGAACTGTATAACTGGAAGACAAAAAGAAAGAGAAGGGCGCTCACCCTAGTGCAGATGGTTCTTTATTGTTTAAAAATAGCAAAATAGAGTGCAAAGGTATTCACAATGGTAGATCGATTAGAAGCATAAATGAGTAGTTCAAGGATACATCAGTTTACAAACTGCAATCAGCCTGAGTGCCTGAGTGCCTGAGTCTGGTGACGTCGATGTCCGTGACGTCACCGGATCTCCGAGGACTCCCGGAAGCCGGCGGAAAGGTGAGTTCCGATAAAAATTATTTTGATCGATCAAAAAAATTAATGATTAATCGTTAATTTCCGCAGCCCTACTTTATGCGTAGGCTTTTTCTTTGATTTGTGTACGAAAAATTTCAATTAAAAACAGATTGCACCAAACGTCCAACGGGAAGAGAAGCGCACAGCTGAGAGACGCGAGAAATCTTGGGCTGGTTTAACTCCCCAGCAACCGAATAATACAAACAAAACCCATGTTTTTGTCGGGCCGACTCATCATAGACCAGCCAACAGATGATTATTATTATTATGTAGGACTTCTATAGATGTGCAGAGTTTTACAATATAAAGGGAAACACTACGGTTACAATACAATTCATGATAAGAGGGATAGGAAGTCCCTGTTTGCGAGCTTACGATCTAAAAGGGGAGGGGCAAGCGATACAATAACTTTGCAGGGATGAGTTGATGGATGAAGCAGAAGTTCAGTTGTTAGGTGGAGGTCAGATCGGCTTCCCTGAAGAGATACGTTTTCAGGAATCGCCTTGAAATAGTAGGAGATAGCTGGACAGGTTGGGGTAGGGAGTCCCAGAGGATGGGAGAGGCTCTAGAGAAGTCCTGGAGATGAGCATTGGAAGGAGGTGACGAGGAACCTAAAAGCAGGAGGTGTATGGAGGAGCAGAGGTCCGTTTGGGGGATATTTGGGACGAGGTTGGTCATGTAGCATGGTGCAGAGTTGTGGAGGGTTTCCAGTGCTCCTTGCAATCACCTAGCGCAGGGGTAGGCAACCTTGGCTCCCCAGCTGTGCTGAGACTACAAATCCCATCATGTTTCTTCCTCTGGGAGTCATGCCTGTGGCTTGCAATGCCTTATGGGATTTGTAGTTTCAGCACAGCTGGAGAGCCGAGGTTGCCTACTCCCTGACCCTAGCGGAACCAGAAATACTCACACGTTTCGAACACATTTGCGGTCTCGGTATAAGTTACGGAAATGTAACTTGGCTACGGTCCGGACTTGCTGCTTCCACAGAGCGCGGCCACTCACGGTGCAGGGATCGGACTCGGGAAGGGACAGTAAGCCCTGGTCGATGTCCTCGGTGGATTTCCACTTGCTGTCATCGTCCATCTTCTGATGAGTGAAAATATTGTCATCTACGAGAAGACACAATAAGAAAACGATCATCTACGGACACAACACCCACTCCGGATACTAAATGGCTCCTCAAGCCCATCATGATTTATGATTTGTGGTCGTTCTTTATCCGTTACTCTTCCATAGTTTTGTTTCATTCGGTGTATACAGCTATCAGTTTATTGAAACATTGACTTCGATAGTAACTAACCCTTTCCTGACCGGAGCTCACCAAAGCCTGGAGGCTCAGGCCAATTTTAGCAGCGTCAGCATACGTACAGGGGTGTATCTGCTGCAAGGCAAACTAGGCATTCGCCTAGGGCGGCACTTTCAAGGGGGGGCGGCAAAAAAATGCCAGTTACCAGTTAGGTAAGAGAAAACAAATAAATTATTAATAAATTACTCAGTACTCCTGGACCTGTTCAAACCGCCAGTGAAACGCGCGTTTCACTGAACGTAAAAACGCGCTAAAACAACGAGCTGAAAAAATACGCCCAGGTGTGAACCCGGCCTGAGGACCAGCAAACTGCAACGTTACATTTTTGTTTTTGGCTTTAGATACATTTTTTTAATAAAAGCTGCAGATTCAAAAAGACTGAAATGACAATAAAGTGTTAAAGGAGAACTATGAGGGGGGGGGAGGGGGGAGTGATTTCCACTCACCTCATAGTTCTAGCCGACCTGTGACAATGAGACCGTCACAGGTCGGCTCAGTAGATCGGGAAGTGAGAGAACACATACCGGCGTTCGCTCACCTCTCGATCCTGTCACGGCTCTCTGCCGTGACAGGGGGAGGGCTGGATTCCCCCCTCCCCGCTCCGATCCTGCAGCGCTGACTGGCGGAACGGACGGGGGAGGGGGCGGGTACACCTGGCTCTGCCTCTAGGTAGGCGGAGCCAACTGTCAGTCACGAAGCTGGGCGGATCCCGGAACAATTGTCGGGATCTGCTTCAGCGTCTCAGTATACCGCGAGCTGTAGCTCCCTATATACTGAGCTTAGGGTGACGGGGGGACGCTAGTTTGTGTCCTCCCGTTACCCTAAGGAGAACTATGGGGAAAAGCCCTGACCCCGTAGTTCTCCTAAAGATGATATGAAGTTCTAATGATTGAATGAAGGGGGTTCGGGGTCCGGGAATGAGGCCAGGACTACGTCTCTGTCCTCTGTAACATTCTCAGCTGAGTAAGACAACCGATCCCGGCTCCATCCCGGGGATCCGGACTTCATTACCTGTCTGGTCCACATCGGATTCCGTTTCTAGTCTGACGAAGACGTCCTCCAACGTGGTGACTGACACGCCGTAGGTCAGGACACCTAAGCTGCAGTCGTTGTCCAGGGCACAAAACAATCCTAGAAAACGAAAACACAACTCAATTGGACCAAAAAGTATCACAAATCCGTCCAAAGACAAACATTGTACTGCAGCTTTATCACAGGGGCTGATTTATAAATCTTCCTTCCAGATAGTTCCGCGGCATTACCACCACTAGATGGAACCAAGGAGCAGAGGAAATCTCAATGCTCCCCAGCGCCATCTGGTGGTAAAAATCAGCACCAAAGAGTTTTGTTTTTATTACATTTCCTTTAAAGGAGAACTATGAGGGGGGAGGGGGGAGGGGGGGGTGCTTTTCACTCCTCCTCATAGTTCTAGCCAACCTGTGACAATGAGACTGTCACACGTCGGCTCAGTAGATCGGGAGGTGAGCGAACACATACCGTCGCTCGCTCACTTCTCGATCCTGTACCTCTCCCTGCAGGGATTCCCCCCCTCCCCTGCCCGATCCTCCATCACTGACTGGAAGAACGGACGGGGGCGGGTACAGCTGGCTTTGCCTCTAGGTAGGCAGAGCCAGCTGTCACTCACGCAGCTGGGTGGATCCAGACAGTAATGTCGGGATCCGCTCCGGCTGCGGCGTCTCAGTATACCGCGAGCTGTAGCTCCCTATATACTGAGCTTAGGGTGACGGGAGGACGCTAGTTTATGTCCTCCCGTAACCCTAAGGAGAACTATGGGGAAAAGCCCTGACCTCATAGTTCTCCTTTAAGGGCAGATCTGGTCCAGGAAATGATGTGAATCTGCCCGCAGTTCCAGAACAGACAAAATAGGACAAGTAGTATTTGTCTGGTCTGGAACGGTCTGCACTGGTGTGAACAGAGGCCAGAAATAACATAGGGATACATTAGGATGCATTTTGGGTCCAGAAACAATCTGGTCTGGATATGGTGTGAATGGGCCCTAAAGCTGAACTCTGGACACACAAATGCAGTTATATATTCACTGAGACATAATGGCATCACTTTATTTTTAAAATCCCCTGTACAGCAGGGCTCAGCCTGGGAAAGGGAAGGGCAGAACTAGGGGCCATTTAAGTGTGCTGCTGCATGGTGATAGGAGGGAAGAGCACAGGGATGAGCTTATCAGTCTGTTCCTCCATCATTGTTCTGGGGGTGGGGAGGTGACCACGCTTTATTGGTGTAACTGCGGCAAAGGAGTCAGGTCACCAACTGTCTAACAGGGCAGTGTAAATCTTAGAGCTGGCTGAACAGAAATAAAAACCCTTTGGCAGGTGAACCAGCACCAATATATGCATTCCCACTGTGTATTTGGTGGTTTGCCCCAGAGGTAGGCTTTGAGCACCCAACCTCCAAAACATTGTTGGGAAATGAAGAACCTGCCGTCCTCATGAGATGAATTGTATCCCAGTAGGCGGAGCCTGTGCAGAAGACACCTGGAGATCAGCAAGGTTTATATACCTGGGAATATGTCCACGTCCTTCAATGGTAAGCCGTAGATGAGGGAACTGCCGGTGGCCAGTATAATGGTGGCCCCTGGAACGTGTTGTGAGACCAGCGCAGAGACAGACGCCATGTTACACGAGGGCTTTATATCCATACTAAGCGGAGAGACACAAATGTTTCAGAATTTAGTCTTTCGATAGAACACCAGATCCTGCAGCTTCCTCCGCCCACCATAGCTGCCATAGGCTGGGAGGAAGACTGCAGAGCTGCTACTGGCTGGAAGGACAGCACGGGAGAAGCAGGACACCTGGGACATGGAGGATACATTGCTTTTTTCTGCATTAGACTGCTGATCTCTGTACTCTGCATCACACCACTGGCCTCTGCACTCTGCATCACACCACTGGCCTCTGCACTCTGCATCACACCACTGGCCTCTGCACTCTGCATCACACCACTGGCCTCTGCACTCTGCATCACACCACTGGCCTCTGCACTCTGCATCACCCCACTGCCCTCTGCACTCTGCATCACACCACTGGCCTCTGCACTCTGCATCACACCACTGGCCTCTGCACTCTGCATCACACCACTGGCCTCTGTACTCTGCATTGTTAATGATCTCTGTTCAGTGTGTCACACCACTGACATGGCGGAGTTAAGGGCGGGGCACGGTAGGGGTTAGGTGGGGCGACTGGTGGCGAGTAACTCTTAAGGCCTGGCTAGTAGCTCAGGACTTGAAATTTTGAGCCCTGATTTAGTGGATTCAAACCGAACGTTCGATTGTTGTTAACAAAGATTTATTAAATCCCAGATTACATTACAATATGACAGATAAAGGGAAACGATGTACCTTAAGCGGTAGCCAACACCCCATTTGCTCTTAAGGAACAGAGAGGATCCAACACATTTCAGTGTCCCCTGGGAGAGGACGGCTTTTCTGTCTGAAATAGAAATGATGAAGATGATTATAAATCAATAATTTACATATTTTGTATCAATTAAATATTCATTTCAGAAAAGGGTCAGTCCGCCCGAAACTTATATTCCAATCAGCGAGCAGCCCATATCATATCTACGAGGTACTTCGGGGGCGGACCTTCTCCATGGACCCTTCCTGTTCCAACATGACTGCGCACCAGTTTACAAAGCAAGGTCCATAAAGACATGGATGGGGGAGGGGGGAGGAGGAACGTCCTGACCTCAACCCCATAGAACACCTTTGGGGTGAATTAGAGCGGAGACTGCGAGCCCCTCCCCCAACATCAGTACCTGACCTCACAAATGGTCCAACATTCCCAAAGACGCACTCCTAAACCTTGTGGACGCCTTCCCAGAGGAGGCGGAGCTGTTATAGCGGCAAAGGGCGGAGCCTGGGGGAGGGGGGAGGAGGAACGTCCTGACCTCAACCCCATAGAACACCTTTGGGGTGAATTAGAGCGGAGACTGCGAGCCCCTCCCCCAACATCAGTACCTGACCTCACAAATGGTCCAACATTCCCAAAGACGCACTCCTAAACCTTGTGGACGCCTTCCCAGAGGAGGCGGAGCTGTTATAGCGGCAAAGGGCGGAGCCAACCCAATACTGAACCCTATGGACTAAGACTGGGAGGCCATCAGAGTTCATGTGCGGGTAAAGGCGTCCCAATACTTCTGGCTATATCGTGTAGGCTCATACATATAGTACATACACCTTCAAAGACACGCTTCCATCACGCATCATGTGATACATACACGGTGATCTACAACATCCTATGAACGTCTCTTCCTAGGGAGGTTGAAGGGTCAGTTTAGGACGGACTCTGTGATGTTTGGAGTTGATTTGTTGTATTTGTTCTCATCAGGAAGTGAACTGTCTTTGACATCATTTGCATTATTAGTACAATACACCCCGGCCTGAACTACAGAGCACTCCCACACCACTGAGCGATCTGCAAGGGGAACGTACCGGCCAGGATGTCGGCTTCTTCCATACAGTGTGTGCTGAACACGATCACATTGTTTGCCTTCCTCTTCTTCAGCACATTCCAGACGGTGTACCGGGAGCAGGAATCCATACCCGCCGTGGGCTCATCCAAAAGCAGCACCTGCCAAAAGCATCAGGAGGTCACCAAAACACAATGGAGGGGTCACCGCAGAGCGTTGTCACTTCTCACCGCCATCTGTCGCTGTCTCATCGGGATAAAAATAGGCCAAGCTGCTCCGAAGTCGCCATAATATCGCTCAGTGCCTGCGGCTGCTGTCAATGCAATCCACCCAGGAGTACAGGGGGTCTGCATGGGGTGGTATGTACAGGAGAGGAGTGCAGGAGGTCTGCATGGGGTGGTATGTGCAGGTATCACCATGGGGGCCCAATGACACAATAGGGAGCAGTGTGACCTGCGAGTGTTCGGGGCTCTCAGGAAGGAGACACCATCTGCTCCAACAATAGGCCATTGTAAGGGGGTGAAATATTCATGAGGGGCGGGCGATACAATGTAGCCGGGGAGACGGTTGCCATGGAGAAAGGAAACGTATTAAATGTCATTGTAGCAAAACGGCCCAAATACTGGAAACAGTTCGAAGCTGAACTCACATATGTGATCATTATCCGTAGTTGTGTTTTCTCTGCCAGTGATACGAACACCTGAATGTGACCCGACATCCCCCTTGTGCCCTCCCCGTATATCACAGCTCAGACGCTGCACAAAGAACCAATTATCTGTGCTGTAGAGCTAACAATAAACATGCTGATTGGAGGAGAGAACAGAGTGACAGAGAATGAGCTCATCAGTCTTCTGCTTCTCCTTTCCCTGTCCTCCTAATTAGCATGTAAGAAGCATGCTGAAAGGAGGAGAGAGCAGAGTGTCAGAGAGTTGATCTTATCAGTCTACTGCGTCTCCTTTCACTGTCCTCCTATTAGCACGTAAGAAGCATGCTGATTGGAGTAGAGAGCAGAGTGACAGAGAATGAGCTCATCAGTCTACTGCGTCTCCTTTCACTGTCCTCCTATTAGAACGTAAGAAGCATGCTGAAAGGAGGAGAGAGCAGAGTGTCATAGAGTTGATCTCATCAGTCTACTGCTCCTCATTTTACTGTCTTACTGTTAGCATGTAAGAAGCATGCTGATAATAGGAGAGAGCAGAGTGACAGAGAGTCTACTCATCAGTCTACTGCTTCTCCTTTCACAGGCTCGGGGGAGGGACGTGACCTGTAAGTCTGCAACTGCAGCAGAGGAAAATCAAGTCTCCTTCCCGGGCCAGACAAGGACGTGCTTTGTGGCAGGGCTGTGTAAATCTAAGAACTGGATGGACAGAACGACATGCCCGTCATCTGTGTATTTCCAGGAGTTCAGCTTTAAATTCGATCTCTATATAGAGAGAGAGAGATCATACTACACGTACATACCAAACCACACGGACATGTCTTTGTATGACACGTGACTCAGAACGACATACAACGGTCCTCCAATCACGCGGTTTGTCTCCTTGCTTAGCTACAAATGTCTCTGCGGTCACAGAAATGGGTGGTGCCGCTTTGGATCGTTCCATCGGACTCACCTTGGGGTTGCCCAGAACCGCGATGCCCACCGCCAGCTTCCTCTGCTGCCCCATGTTGAGGCTCTTCACCTGGTTGTGCTTCACGGCCTCCATGTCCAGATCATGAAGAATCTTATTGATCTGCAATACACAATCAGAACGCCCGGTGTGTTCTATCAAAGTCTGTTACTGCGTCAGAATGTGTGACCGGTGACGTGGTCACACATTCTAACGTAATCCCGCCCCTTTTTTCCGGCGTTGGAATATGTGACCGGCAAAAGGAGAATTCCAGCGCTTTCTCTGCTGTTCCCGGGCAGATCGGCATCGCAGGTTGTATGTGCAGGAGAATCTGAACATAGAATCAAAGCTGTTCCGATCTGCCCGGGAACAGCTTTGATAGAACACCGGAACACGAGATAAAACAGAGACTCCGCCCCCAATCTAAGACATTGCATATAGAAGCAGAGGAAAAAAATCTAGTGACAGGGTCTCTTTAATGAAGAGCCCCAGGTTGGGGATCGGACATGCAGTGACAGGGTCTCTTTAATGAAGAGCTCCAGGTTGGAGATAGGACATGCAGTGACAGGGTCTCTTTAATGAAGAGCTCCAGGTTGGGGATAGGACATGCAGTGACAGAGTCTCTTTAATGAAGAGCTCTAGGTTGGGGATAGGACATGCAGTGACAGGGTCTCTTTAATGAAGAGCCCCAGGTTGGAGATAGGACATGCAGTGACAGGGTCTCTTTAATGAAGAGCTCCAGGTTGGGGATAGGACATGCAGTGACAGAGTCTCTTTAATGAAGAGCTCTAGGTTGGGGATAGGACATGCAGTGACAGGGTCTCTTTAATGAAGAGCCCGCCGCCGCCTGCGCCATCCCCGGATAATGATATTTGGAAACTTCACTACACAGCCCCGGAGGCTTTAGCCAGGGGCGTCCCAAGGCCAGGTGTCACTCGCGGCCATCTGATTGGCGCCTGCCGGCGACCATCTTGGTGATGGACGCCGGCAGAGAGAGGAGGGGACGTTCACCCGGTGGGATGAGGTATGCCGCCCGGGTCCCCTCCTCTCTCCAGACACTGTCGGGCTCTCAGCCCATGACCGAGTGCCCGACTTTTCATAGGGGGTGACGCCAAAATGACTGCCAGTCATTTTGGTGTCACACCTCCAATGGCGTCACCCGGGTGCGCCCTCCTTGTGATGCCACTGGCTGTAAAGCAACATAATGGTGGCAATAGGGAGCGGTGATTGGTCAGTAATCACGCTGACCGGTGAGAATCTCTCATGAGCCTTCTTACCTCCGGGAAGCGTTGTGTGGGCCAGAATGCATTTGTAATGGCAGCGGCGCAGAGGAAGGCGTTGGGGTAAATCT